AAGGATGGAGCCGATGAATTTCCTCCCACTGCGTGCTGGATATTTACCCTGCAAAAGAATTCAGTCGAATGGTTGAGAGTGCAGGGCTGCAGTCAACAGGAAAGCGAACCTATCACATCCATAATTGACAAACATCATTTGCAGTGCTGCTACACAGCAGTGCCAGCTTCTATTAACCAGCACGTGAAAACCTGAGCCTGCTGGACGGCAAAGCCTTCCTCCTGAACAGAAAAGCAAGACTGAATGAATAAATCATTTTAAGTGGAAACAACGAAAGAGAGAGAGGCTGCCTATGAGTTCACACACTGAACATCAATGTTCCTACTGCCTGTGGGAGTTTCACTAGACGAAGAGCTGCCAAGCAGGAGGGAGTCAACTGGGAAACCTCCCAAACAATTACTAAATATCAAAAAAGAAAGCTTTCGATGAATTTTGAATTAAATATGTCTTCTTTTAACTTTTGCAGTTCTTTGAACAGTTGTCCATGTATTCGGGTTCCTGAGTCAAGTACCCAGTTCCAAGCTTTGGGCTTTTTAAAATAATGTTTCCTGATTGTGTTTCTTTGCATTTGGTTCTTCCCTCTAATTCTGTTCTTGGTTTTAGTTCATATTGTATTCCTATTTAACCTTCACCTCATTACCATGTGTGTAAACTGTTTACATCTTCCTCTGGTCCTTTGTCGCATCCTCGATCACTGCTGTGTGTTTCCTTGCTCCATGTTTCCTGAAGTTATGCGCTCCCTATCTATGTTACTGTACAAATAATATGTTATTAACATAAAACTATGTTTCTAGAATATGTTTATTGGGGCTAAAACAAACAAACTATGCTTGTTCAGTCTTTTTTCTAAATTCTGCATATAACTGATGCCTGTGGTGTCTCACATGTAACTATTGGGGGTTTTACAGTTTCTTTGGCTTTGGGGTGAGTTTGCTGGGACGTCCACTACTGGATGTTTTCCACTTGTGAATAATCTCTCTCACTGTTTTAAAATTGTTTGAAAATAGCATTAATGTGTCTTTCCCCTCCGTGATTTACCCCAGATTTCTATTGTTTTGTATTCCTGACTCCAGTGCTTCCTTCAATGTTTGAGATTTTGAAAAAGCTCCTGCATCAAAGCGGTTTTTGAGTTCACATTTTTCCCTCTCCTCCATACTGGGTCCAAAAGCTGCTGCACAGCACATGATTTTACTTTTAAAAAGAAACAAACAAAACAAAAATACTACATAAGGTATAAAATCCATACTTTACTATAAATTCTTTCCCTTATCAAGTTCTGGATCATGGGTGCAAGAGGAGGAGTGCACCGCAAACAGGCTGCCAGTCCCATTAACACCAACAGAGAGAATGCACGAACTCCAACACAGAAATTTGAACCCAAGACCTTTTTGTTGGTAACCTATACTAGCTTCTTGTGGATGTAAAATGTAAAGCATTGATAATTTTTTGTTAGACCCTGACCCTAACCCTTCAGAACTTGAGCACGATTACCTCAGCCAAGGACGTAATAGTTCTGTCCTTAAAACACGACAGCTCCAAAAGTTTTGAACGAATTCTCAGTTAATGGTCAGAAATTGACAGAAACCCTTATATTTTAGAAATGAAGGCTTCTGTATAAAGCAGTTTATCAAAATATTTCTTACTGCCTTTTTACTGCCATATATTCTAAATATCATGTTATTATGATCTTAAATAAGGTCAAACATTCATAAAATGTCTTTTATATTTAAAACTTTACTTGAAATTCTGCTGCCTTTGACTGTATTGGAAACATTCAGGTATTGATACTGGTATATGGGTACTCCAGACGTCCAAATGTCATTTTATATTTGACCTCTGATCTCAGTTTTACATTTCGCATTTGTCGTTGTTTCAGGTTGACCCCAAAACGTGTTATATCTTTAAAGGGAGTATTACCTAGTTAGTTAGAAATATACTACACTATATTATTATAAAACAAGCTCAGGTTATTCGTGCCCAGTTATTTACAAACAAATATCTATTATCCATTATCGACTCCTACATAATGTTTGTGTAATCAAAGTAAACATCTCTCATGCTACTCTTGTCTGAGTTTCTTAGCTGAGGTCATAATTACACATTACCAGTATAGTTAAACGCACTCGAGTGTTACGGTAGCTAATCAGTTGGCTGCCCAACTATTATTAAGTATTATTTATTTTTGGAAAACAAACTTGTTTTCACTTTATGTATGTTTATGTATGTTGCTAAACATCAAAATAATTTTTTACTAAACAATGTAATGCATGCTACATATGTAGTATATCCACATAAAAAAAAGGCGGTTTCATAAATAAATTTAATAACAGTCACCGCAGGCACATTTTGGGACCAGGCCTTATATTTGGAACCCGTGCTCTTAGTTTTCATTAAACTTGAAACAAAGAAACTACAGAGAATTTTTGTCACAGTAAAGCCCTCTGTGCAAAGATAGAACTGATAAGTCATTTTCACATCTGACTGACTGTATCGATTTGTTGAATATCTTAGGTTCATCAAAGTTGTACAGTCTGCGTTTTGCAGTATAAAGAGACAGACACAGATTAGTTAAGTGCCATAATAGAGCTTTGACAGCTGAAGAGGTTAGAAGTCAGAACAATAAGATGCAGCCATAAATAAGAATTGGATTCATGAATGAAACGTCAACCTTCTGGCACTGCTCCTCTGCTTGTGTGTGCATGCACAGAAATATCCATGAACATGCATGAGAATTTATGCGATGAGGCTTGTTGCCCTGTGCGTCCGGCCTTGCGTCACTTAGAAGCAAAAAGAGGAGAGCGGGGTGACGACAGGGCACATCTGTCTGAAGATCTGTCCACTCTTCTGAACATTTACGCAGACAGCTAAAAATATACTGCGACAGGCTGCATAGAGAGCCTGCTGGGAGCCAAAGAAGCACTCGGGATTTGATGCATGCTTCTTTTTTTCCCTCTGCCTTTCTGATTCAGAAAGAGTGAAAGATGTCATCGTATGACAAAGACAACAAGAGTAAAACCCAAGAAGTGTGAGCCTTGAGTTTGTTGTAAGTAGGAGAACAAAAGCACGGTGATTAGATGAGCAGTTGTCGTGAGTCAGTCACTCTGCCTCCCACTGGGAGCCTGTATAGCCCATTTTTTTTGGCACAGACGCAACTTGTGACGTCCTTTTGACAATTGCTTTATATGTGCCCAAAAATATGACTTCCAGAGCCACTGTGAGAGACACTGCTATTCCGGTAACACCATATTTGCTTCTGACTTTGGAGTAGGCAAACACATCCGTCTGGTGCTCTGCAGGGTTTTTCTCTCACTTTTCTTCTTGTTTGTTTTGGATGCCGTCTCTCAGCCATCCCGCACGAGTCCACATTTGGGAATCGTGCAAAATTATTAGAGAATATGGGACAGGAGCCCCTGGGACCCGCATTCATCTGTCTCCCTGTTTACAGAGGATAACAGGAAGAGCTTTCTCTGGAAGAGCCAGAAAAGTGGATTTAATAAAAAACTTTACAGGTTTTAGCAGAACCGGATGACGCAAATACAAGTCCAAAAAGTTAATCAACTTGGGTCCCAACACTTTATCTACGGCTCAGACAGCTCAGTAGGCTGAGCCAGAGATCTGTAGCCATAGATTAGTTATTTAAATTTGTTCATTGCATGAAACAATTTAAAAGCTTTTATTTAATTAAAAAAACAGCAAATCTGTTACATGTCTTAAGCCTCTTTGTCTTATCCACTGAGCAACTAGGCCTGCTGAGCTGCTACATTGTATGGATCATTGTACATAAACAATGCTCTAATGACCAGCCAACTGTAGAAGATGTACTATTTGAACAAAGTCCAAAAAACATCAAAAATACAGAGCTGCGACATGAGGGACATAGAGAGAAAACACAGGGAGCAGAGGTGGCAAAAGTACAGCCTCTGAAATGTACTCAGAGTAAGAAAGTAAAAAATAGCTCCTTGAAGGACAATTCTACCAAACATTTTTGTACTAAGGTAACTGAACCATGTGCAGTATTACTATAATAATTCTAATTCTAATGAACGTACTCAGCTTGAATCTGTTCTGTGGGACATAAACACAGATAGATCATTTTAAAAAAAAAGTTCTGTTGATACATTGATGGGGACTGTGCCTCCACACCTAAACACTAAACTAAGTACAGTCAGTACTTAGTGTAAAGGCTGTGTTCAGCTGGCCAGCTGCTCTTTGTGGCTGTACACAACTGAATTCAACCAGATGTCAGAAGATGTTTCACAGCTATCTCAGCTGACTTCCATTTTCTACACTGACATTATACTATTTATAGAGTGAATGATCATCATCATCATCTTAATTGTTAATTAGTCTATTACAGCTGATGTAAACCAACACTGACCATGGGCACCACAGATACTATGCAGCAGTTCAGTGCAGTTCTTTACAATAAATTCACCACAGTACGACAAGCTGACCTCTTTATCCCATACAAACTACCCAGGATTTTATACGTGACTCTTGAATAACACAAAGTTAGTATATCTTTGTTTGTTTTGCAGAAATATCCAGTCTGTGATTGAAGTGATGACATCACACGCAAGCTTTAAATTTGCAGTTTATAAAGTATCACTGAACAGTTCTTACCTTTAAACCTAGCCTAACACTTGCACTCCTTCCCAAGTATAAATGCTACAGAGGAACCTTTTTTAAGCATTTGTTTAAAAAAATGTAAGCAGTAGGAAGTTCAGATATTTTCTGTTATGGTGGCAAAGTGAGGACCTGCTGATTTACAATATGAGAAGCTATTACAGAGTGAGTAGAGATAAACAAAATAACACAATGACAGGCAACACAAAAGGGCTCAGACATTTTAGTGCACGTTTGAGGTTTGGATAATAATAATAATAATATTTAACACAATTTAGTGGGCTACACACTGAACTTAGAGGGTAAAACAAAGTATCGATCCTGTTGCACTAGTATCGAGCCGATGCCAGTACCAGCACTGGTATCAATACGATCAAAATTTGGGTCGATCCACCCACCTCTAGCTAAAAGCTTTTGTAACAGCGATGGCGCCGAAAGCAGGTAGGTGTGTGAATCCTAAATGCTACACTGCACCACTGAGATAAGTTTGTTTCCAGGTCTTACACACACACTGCACGCTGTCTTATACAGTCTATAACTACAGCAGCTGTCCGGTTTGGATTGGAATTTATCTGCGGAGTTAAAATCAGCAGGAGAAAGTTGGTCAAATGTTTACATTATGCGCTTTTTTTTTTTACGTATTCACATGAAATGTCTGAGCATTTAATAATGTAGCAGGTTAAGTTCACTCCCCTGCCTTATCCAGCATTACATTCTGCAACACAATGCAAGCCCCTTTGTGTTATGAAACCATCACGTAACAGCACGTGCGCTGTTCAGGTCGTCGAGGGAGGAAGCGCAAAGCGGAGGCAGAGGAGCAGCAAACACCAGCAGGGAAGAAGAAGGAGCGAGGAGAGGAGGAAGGCAAAAGAGTGGTCATTGAACACTGGTGAATACACTAATCACATGATTATAAGCGGTGTAGTAAATACCCAGATCAACCACTGCTGTTGTCCACTCACTACTTATTATATGGTTTTATTCATTTTTAGTTTTTCCTTCTGAAATTTCAGTTTAAAAAAAATCAGATGCTGTTGACTAGGTCATATAATCGTAAGACATTAATATAAATCCATTTTACAATATAAAAAACATCCATCCATTCTCTTCTGCTTATCCTTGTCAGGGTCGTGAGGTGTGTGGGTGCTTGATTGAAAAAGATTACTTTTAACAATGACAAATGCAACTGAGTATTTCATCTACAAAGTGGTACTTAAACAGTAAATTGTCTGTTTAGATTCTACAACAGTATTCTATGTTATGCAATTATTTTACGACTAATTCATAAATAAAGTAAAATCAAGTATAATTCTTTACTATAAAGAAAGAAAGTATTTTCTCTTTTGCATTCAAAGTTGTCCTTGGGCTTAGTACTTTCTTAAATGTACTTTTCTAATAAAAGCACCTTATGCGCCTGCACAGATGGCTACCTTATAGTTTACCTGTTGCTTCCTGCAGTAAAAGCTGACGAGTGTATAGGCATAATGCTGAGGAGGTGAAATCTGCCCTCCTGGCTGCCTGTCCTGCACTGCCTGTGATCCTCAACCCTGAGAAACCCCGCAAGAAGAGCTTCGAGATCACTCTTATGGATGGAGACAAAGGTTAGGAAGATGAAAAAGAAAATCCGAGATTAACCCACCCATTTTAGTGTTGCACAGGGGAAATATTAATGTTTATAGTAGCTATATCGACTGTACAGGGATTGTTAAGCATTTGGTTTTTCACTCACTCTGTATTATCACAGGACTTGCTTTGGATTGCCATGTTCACATCAAAAATATTTCCTACTCGCAATCTTCTAAATGACATTGCTCCTCTTTTCTCTGATTCCAAAAGAAACATGCCTGTGGACTGGAATAAAGAAGGGTCCGCCTGCTAGGCTGAAGTTTCCTCAGCCTGATGTAGTAGTTGCTGCTCTACAGGAGGCTCTGAAAGTTGAGCGGATGCCAAAGTTTGCCAAAGCTGTTGCACAGAAAACATCAGCTACAGATTAAGTAAGAGATGTACGTTCCCCCTAATTTAATCTGGCTGTCAGTTGAAACAAGTTATTTCTTCTTTTATAATTATTTTATTTTGAGGCAAACATCCATCCATATTATTTGTGGAAAATCTCAGGCTACGCTGAGCTGTTGATGATGCTTTGCCTGTGTTTATCGGAAAGAACTGACTATTCCTGTCCAATGTTTATGTTTTAGCCCAGCGTTCAGGAGATGTGACCAGTGGAAGCACAAAATGATGAGGAGTGACCAAGGAGATGTTCTCAGTCCCTCCTCTGATGAGTCAAGTGCCAACTGTTGTCATCTTCTGGACACATGAGGTCATCTGGTGGAGCATAATGATGCTAATGATGTTTTTATATGTGTTTTGGTAAATTAGAGATTTTCTTTGTTACTTTTTAGATGTTTTACTTACTCTAGCCAAACACTTAATTGTTTTGTGCAAGTTAATTTTGCTGTGTTCAACTGGATGACTTGATACAACAATAAATCATGTTTTTTTTCTGTCCATCCACTTTCTTTATTATGGTCACAGGGGGTCTGAAGCCCATCCCAGTTGTCCTTGGTAGAGGCAGGGTACACCCTTCACAGATCGCCAATCTATTGCAGGGCTAAAATGGAGATACAATCAACCATTCATATTCACATTTACGCCTACAGCCAATTTAGAATCGCCAGTTAGTCTAATTAACTTAACCCAATGAATGTTTTGGACTTTGGGAGGCTGGAGACTGCTCAATTCAAACACTGGGCATTCTTTCTGCAAAGCAACAATGGTAACCATTACTGTGTTGCACTTTTGACCTTTTCCTAAATGTAAACCAGCAGGACCAAGATAAACACAAAAAATATGTTTAATTTACTCAGGCAGGAACACACATAACCCTTTAAATCAGGTAACACACGTTCACTGCTTTAACTTTATATGCTTAAGTGTGTTGTCACCATACAAACACCATGTATTCCTGTTCATGTATAGGTACATACAAAGATAATGAAAGCACACTTATGCTAATGCTGTATGTGTTTAACAAACGGTTTGCATTTTTCTTTAAATGCAGCTTTAGTTAAATTACAGTAATTATATTAACACATTAGAAATAATAACGATAGATCTCATTTTCATTCATGCTCAGAAAACTTCCTACTAATGGTTTCGCCCAGCCAAACTGAAACCCCCTTCCCAAATATATTGGTACAGTCGACATGCGCGCGCCAAAGTTTTGTAACAGCAATGGCGTCCAAAGCAGGTGGGTGTGTGTTATAGGAATGTAAACAATACCGTATTTTTTTTCTACAACAAAAGCTGTAACGGAGTTTGTCTGAGGAGGAAGACGGTTGTACCATTTTGATCTAGCGGTTATCATCCCCATGACTGTTTCACCCTTCTTTGTAGGTCATTTAGCTGAATGGCTACATGCACCGGAGCAAAGTAGTAACTGCGAAGATATTTACATTATTCACTTTCTAAACTCGTTAAATGTAGCATGAGTCGGCGCGCTGACCTTTCTGACCATGTTTATTATGCAACGACTCATTAAATGGGTCATTATTATTACTACTCTGTTAGGTTATGAAACTTCTCAGCTTGCACGTGCCCGAGTCCTCCTCTACTCACTCTCCTCCCACCAAGGGCATGACAGGAGGAGTTGGAGCATTAGGCATTTATAAAACAGACCTCTTTACTTCATTTTATAAGGTTATACATTAAATATGACATGTAGCACAGCTGCATCCGAAATTATTTTGTACTCGAGTTCTGTGACAAACTGGCGATCTGCCCACAGTGTAAACCCCATGTCGCCCTATTTAAGCTGGGAGTCTTACAGCCCAACTGCAATCCTGAACTGAATAAACAGAAGAAGATGGTGGATGGATGATTGCTTTATTTTTGGGCTTTTGTAAGACTCTACTAAGGCCAAAGACACCTCAGGCTAAATAAGTAGGTGGGTGGGCATAGGACCAGCATTCACCAGGAAGGGGCCTATGGTTTTATTTAACCATGGCAAGGGAAGCAACATGTGCCAGCTACTTGCAAAGGATCAAGTAAATCGATGAACTGCATGTATTTTTTCTTTTGGGAAACTGACTTCTTTGCCTACATACTTCACTTGCACATTGTGCATCACTGGCCTTTTGATTGTGAATTTGAATTTCACTTTTTGACAATCAGCCACTAAAGATACACCCTTGAGTCCTCAATTGTAGCTTCTTGTGCAGGCCACTGTCTCCTCTGTCTTATTGATGTTTTTAGAAATTTTCCATTCAGTATTGTGCGGCCTGATTGAATTCTGGGTCATGGACAAAAGGACAGAGGATAAATGAGATATGGAGGCACAAATTCAAGAAACAGCCAAACACAAAACTGCGCATGTGTGTTTGTAGGTCGTGGTGGGAAGAAGCGCAAAGCAGAAGTTCAAGCAGAGGAGGAGAAACCCTCAGTGGAGGAAAAGAAGGGCAGAGGAGAGGATGAAAGCAGCCAGGAAGGCCTCAGGGTGGTCATTGAACACTGGTAAAGAAAAAAATATGTAATCACGTTATAATCAGTGGTGAAGGAAATGCTAATTGTGTTTATTTAAAGTGAGTAAATATAGCCCCCATTTTAAAATACTTAAACACTTTGGTTTTTATTTTTAATTAAGTATCAGAAGTGAATGCATTGATTAGGTGGAAAAAAACAATAGTTCTCATGAAATCTGTTTATATTATTATTGAACCAGAACCAAAATAGATAACATCACAGTTCACTGTGTAACTCAACTCTTAAAATCTGCAAAAAGATGTAATCTTGATGTGTCACTTCTGGCAGTAAAAGCTGACGAGTGTACGGGCGTAATGCTGAGGAGGTGAAATCCGCCCTCCTGGCTGCCCACCCTGAACTGACTGTGGTCCTCAACCCTGGGAAACCTCGCAGGAACAGCTTCGAGATCACTCTGCTGGACGGAGGCAAAGGTAAACAGGATTTACTCAGCAATGTGGATCTTTCATTGTAAAAAAAAAAATGATACAAATGACATTTTCTTCCTGATTCCTAAAGAAACATCTCTGTGGACTGGAATAAAGAAAGGCCCACCTCGTAAGCTGAAGTTTCCACAGCCTGATGTGGTAGTTTCTGCTCTGCAAGAGGTTCTGAAGGCTTAGACACCAAGTGAAGGTTTGGCAAAGCGGTTTGACTGAATAATGAATGCATAAAAAACAGATAGAAAATAAGAAAATTCAGCTTTACTTCTTATTTACAGTAAACTGGTAACTCATGTAGCTTTGTAAATAGAATCAAGTCAAAATGCCTTGTGAATTGCAATGCAGCTGTTCAGTGAACAACAGTTGTGTATAAGTGTCTTTTTAACAAAACTTTTCCCATGTTATTTGCAGCCCAACATTCAGGAGATGCAGCCAGTGGAAGCAAAAATGATGAGAAGTGACCAAGGAGATGTTCTCAGTCCCTCCTCTGATGAGCCATGCTCTAACTGCTGCCATCTTCTGGGTGCATGGTGACACCTAGTGGAGCTTAGTCGAGCCAAAGCATTTCTCTGGCACATTACTGCTGTTTACTGTTGTGTTTCACAAACGTTCAGTTGTTGTTTTATGTCTGTTTTGTTTTTGGGGTTTTTTGATAAATAAAATCTTTTTTGGGGTAATTGTGTGTATTTTGTTACAACTATCCAAACACTCAGCTGTTATTATGGAAAGGTTTTCTTATTTTTATTCAGGAACCAAGTGTGGAGAAGAAAACTAGAGATACAATTTGTGTGTTGAAACACATTAATGCTCACATGCATTCAGAAAGTGTAGCAATGTTTTTGATTGACTCAATACTATAAAACCACTATTAGCATTTATATTTTTATTAACAACATATTGCAACTCTTGGCAAATAAAGTACATGTTACTAATTGATAGGATTAATAGTTTTAAACAGCTGGCAAAGCACCTTGTATCATATTTTAGAAGGTTGTGCAATTACATTCACCTAAGCAATGGCCTTAATTAGTAACTTGAGGGCTCTGATCTTAGTCTTGTGCAAAATAGTCATCTTCCAAACGTGATCGCAAATATTTGCTAAAAACGGTTGCTGGTATTTAAAAAGTTTTAAATCACTTGTTGGCCTTAAGAAATGAGTATATCAGAAGAACAGCTGAGGTTAAGCAGTTTGGAGACAAAGTTAGAGAGGAAAGGAGATGGTTAGAACATGTGCAATGGGTACATTGGATAAAGTATGTTCAATGTGGAGTTTCCAAACAGGAGGAAAGAGGAAGACCACAGAGAAGGTAGTGAAGGAAGACACGCAGAGGGTTTGCGTGACAACGGGGATAGAGTGAGTTGGAGACGCGATCCGTTGTGGCGACCCCAAAAGGAAGCAGCCGAAAGAGGAAGATTTGTTAATCTGTCTGTAATCTATAATCTGTCAAATGTCTCTTGTGTGAATGATATCAAGCCATTTTGATCCCCCCAAAACATTCCTGTCACAAGGTAGAAGCTACAATGAATTTCGTGTCATATGCCAAGCTAATATAAACAAGTCGCGTTGTGAGGACGTCACACAATGACACGGAAAACGCGATCGTCTGCCAAGTGTTTGCGAAATGTTGCTTTGTTTTGTTTTTGCCTTAAATATAAACAAGGATAGCAGACACACAAAAAGGATTCAAAGTCTTCCGTTTTTGGCAGACGAACATTTTGTTTGAATAATCGCCGGGGTGTGACGTCATTGTCCCGCGACCAGGCAAGTCGACTCAACGGTTCCTCATGAGCACGGGACCGATTTCCTTCTACAATAAGTCTTGAAATTGGTGCGTAACTTTTATATATTACAAATTAATACGTTTTAGACTTTTGCTTGACGTTTCGAGAATCGTCTGGGCGGGTTTGTAAGCAGTGATTCGACCTTTGCTAATCTTAGAAAGGTCGAATTAGCCGTGGCTCCGCTAGCTGGTTTGTTGATTTAAGGGGTTTCCCTTTTAGCATCGTATATAGAAAACATTTTTCAAAGAATAAATATGTTGAAAATATATGGACCAACTTTGGAGCATAACATTTTTAGGGAAGTCAAAAATGGTCGAGCAGAAAATGTTCAAAAAATGACTCATGATCTCAGATTGACTAATCCTGCAGAGGGAAAACACCGATCACATCACAGTATTTAAACAATTCCATCTTTTACTCTGTGTGATCAAGTTTATCTTTTATGCATACAATGTTAAAACACCAAATTAAAAATAATGTGAGGGGTAATGCTAGAGTTAAAATTAGTGTTATTAAAAAGTTGTAAAACTACAGTGGTTAGCTTGTGACTTTAAAATGCAAATACTTAATAAAGATCCATGTTAACACACTTTCCTTTAAGCATTGCTTTATTAGAGAAGCTATGTGGAATGTTTTGTTGTATTACTACGCTATGTATGCATGTAACTTTTTTCTTTTCAGCATGCTACTTCTGCCAAATTATTGCAACCTAAAGTTTCTCGTTGACAGTCATGGCAACAGAGGGGGTGGAAAAGACGAGTGAAGATGCTCCAGCAGCTGGAAAGGCCAGCACCAGGTATGACCTGGAAAAGGAGACTGAACTTCGCTTTGAGGTGGAGTCAGGGGAAGCAGCTGAACAAGTTGAGCTGGAGCTGCTCACAGGAATGGCTGAGGTGTTTGGCTCCGAGCTAAACCGAAACAAAAAGTATACATTTGGACCAGGCTCTAAGATTGCAGTTTTCACTTGGCAAGGCTGTAGTGTGAATCTTTATGGGAAGCCAGAGGTAAGCACGTGGATGAGAATACTTGCAGATTTAGGAAAGTTCAAATGTGTCTGTTGTGTTACATTTAGTCGCATCATTGTGTGTTTCACTTTGGGGAAAAAAGACAAAGCCACAAATACCATCATCTTGCTTTCATCACCGCAGGTTGCTTATGTGTCCAAGGATACGCCCATGCTGCTCTACCTAAACACACATGCAGCCCTTGAACAGATGAGAAAACAAGCAGAGCGTGACAATGAGAGGGGGCCAAGGGTATGTTTGAATGGGGAACTACTTCATATAGTAACTTATCAGATCCCATGAGTGCTTCTTGGATTAATGCTAAATTATAAATCGACCCTCAGGTGATGGTGGTGGGACCGACAGATGTTGGGAAGTCAACGGTGTGTCGGCTGCTTCTCAGCTATGCTGTGAGGGTTGGAAGGAGGCCAACATTGGTGGAACTGGATGTTGGACAGAGCGGGGTAAGATATAAATATAAATATCAAACAGTCGGCTGGTATTTAAAATATTGCATATCACAGCCTGCAGACTCAGCTGTCTTGATTTTGTGCAAAGTGATGCTAAAGCATGTACAGCATCTACTTTGTTTATTTAGCTTTATAGCTGTGATGATCCCCCTGTTTGTCTGCCCATGTGGCTTTTTCTGTTTTATCAGATGCACAAGTTCTGGAAAAAAAATCTTGACATCTGTTTTAATATCTGTACAAAGAAAAAGAACATTAGTCTTTCAGTTGTTTACAGTCACTGGTGTTAATTCAAGTCATTGCAGTAAAGAACAAAGAATTCTACACAGGATTGAGAGCACTGAATTCCTCCTTTCATTTATTAAAGGGAAAAACTATCCAAACGTACCCGGTCCTGTGTGAAAAAAAGTATTTGCCCCCTAAATCTAGTGACTGGTTATGCCATCATTTCCAGGAAAAAACTACAATCGGGTATTTGCGATATCTGGCAATAACTTTCAGATCACTTTGGAGGAATTGTGGACCACTTTTCTTTGCAGTAGTTTTAATTCAGCCACACTGGAGGGTTTCCAAGCATCTCAATTTGATTTAAGTCCAGGCTTTAAGTAGGCCACACCAAAGTCTTCATTTTGTTTTCTTACGAGTCATTCAGAGGTGGACTTGGTGGCATGTTTTGGATCATTGTTACTGTATACTGCATAAGCTAAGTCCGCTTGAACTGATCGACACCCTCATTCAGGATTTTCTCATAGAGAGCATAGAGGTTCCATAAATTACAGCACCCTAGACTATCGTACTACCAGCACCATGTTTGCTGATTAAAATAGTTCCACTTTTCTCTCATTAGTCCACAAGTCTTGGGGATTATTAAGTTGTTTTTTGCCAAATGTGAGATGAGCCTTTGTGTTCTTTTTGGTTAGCAGTGGTTTTCTCATTTTAGCAGGGGTTTTCTCATTTGATTTCTCCCATGGATGCCATTTTTGCCCAGACTTTCTTATTGTTAAGTCAAAAACACTGACCTTAACAGAGACAAATGAGGCCCGCAGTTCTTTAGATATTGTTCTGGGTTCTTTTGTGTCCTCCTGGATGAGTCATCGATGCACTCTTGAAGTAATTTTGGTTGGCCAGCCACTCCTGGCAAGGTTCACCAATATACCAAGTGTTCTCCATTTGTGGCTAATGGCTTTCACTGTGGTTTACTTTGCAGTCCCAAAGCCTTAAAAATGAATTTGACCCTTTCCAGACTCATAGAAGTCAGAGAGTTTGTTTCTCAACTGTTTCTTTAGATTGTAGCACAATGTATTTCTTTTAGCCCACTTCACATTGTCATACAGGATCTATATTTCTTGATTCAACAGGTCTTGTAGTAATCAGACCTGGGTGTGGCTAGTAAAAAATTGAGCTCAGGTTTCCAGAAAATGTGGTTAATCATAGTTGATGATTCAATAAGGGAGCAGATTACTTTTTCACACTGGTAAGTTTAGATAGCTTTTTTCCCTTAATAAATGAAATTGTCAATTTTTTTTCCCATTTACTCAGGTTACCTTTGTCTAATATTAAAATTTGTTTAATCTGAAACATGTAATTGTTTACAATTACAAAAAAAAATTGTCAATATACCAAGTATTTTTTTTAAGGAATGGATCACCTAATAAGTATACTTATTGGAACAATAAGGGGATAGGTGTTCGTGCCTTTGTTGGTAATATAGCATATGAAGCAGTTTGGTCAAAGTTTGTAAATTACAGTATGTCTGTTAATAAAGTATCTGTGTTAGTCATTTGATTGCACTCTATGTTGACTGTAAAGATCTGAACAATGCTGAACAGGACATTTGTTTTATGTGGGACACAGACAAAGTGGCTTTCTTCATATGATGCAGCATGATTAGTGCTTCCACAGATGGTATCATGTATCTTCTTTTTTGTTGTTTTTTGGGGGGGTTGTTTGTTTGTTTGTTTGTTTTAATCTGCTTTGGGTTTTCAGTTTTTTGTGGATAATCTAAAGACCTTAATTTTAATTTTAAAAAATGCAGTTGTTATCAGTTTGAGTAGTAAAAGAAAATTCTGCTCCTTCAGGTGTCTGTACCCGGCACAGTATCAGCGCTCTGCATCGAGCGTCCAGCGGACGTGGAGGAGGGTTTCTCAGTCCAGGCTCCTTTGGTCTACCACTTTGGCTCTACTAGTCCAGGGACCAACATCAAACTTTACAACAAGGTAAAAAAAAGAATGAGTCTAGACCCTTCCTGACATAGTCTGGAGACAAAACTTTAAATTTTTCGTACGTTGTCTTTACCTGTTGAGCATTTAAATCTTTTTGTCACAACATGCAGCTGACATCGTGCCTGGCTGAGGTGTTTTCCCAGCGCTGTGAAGTGAACAGGAAAGCCAGTGTAGGAGGCTGCATCATCA